CAAGTCTATGACTGCGAAAGGCGAAAAATGTGCCATGTTGGGAGCAAGCTTCGACATCAAAGACATGTTTTCGAAGCTCCCACATGATGCAATTATGTCTGCAATCGAGTGGGTAATTCAGTATTACGAAAGCATAGGAGAGAGCAGGGTAAGGGTAAAGACGAATGGGAAAGCAGCTACCTTTGGGAAAGCTGCAGGTGAAATAGGATGGCAAACACTAGCAACGAGAACCATTATGAATTTTGTGAAATACGATCTATTTTCATAGTAGCAGCCAACAAAGTTTTGCAACAGGTAGGCGGGATTCCGGTGGGAAAAAGCAGTAGCCCTGCCATAGCTTGCTTGTTATGTGGTCACTACGAATGCCGTTTCCTATCAACGCTAGGACAAGACAGGTGACTGATCCACGGATGCCGACTAGTAGATGACGTATCAATTTTTGTCASTTTTCAGATTAACAGAATGGAGAGCTTAATCAAGGCTTGTGAGATCATGAASAGTTTCGAAAAATGCTACCACGAAGGACTGACACTCGTCCGAACAGATGAAGGAATGCACAAGTGGCCTTTTTTGGGATTAGACTTGGAGACTCGAATGTATCCCCCCCACGTGAATTGCACGGCAAGGACTGCAAACGGACCTAATCTGCTGCAAGGGGGACCTATCATTTTTCAAGGGTTACAGGACTTTGGCTCATACACAGCAAGAAGGACGAAGATGGCAGTAATAACGGGGTTCCTGAACCGAATTTAGGACCACACGCTCGACAAGGTGGAGGCAAGACGAACTCTGCTGGCACTACAAATCGAACTGAGGATCATACGATACCCAGAGACATTCTTCGAAACACAGTTGAGCAAGTTTTCAAAGGGCAAAGACGGCGATTGGGACCAATGGGTCCAGGTGCTGTGCGTATGGACCAGGTAACGACACACGGCGGCAAGAGAACTGTGAATCGTGGCAAGGACCAAGAATTCTTTCGTCTAGTCGGTATTTGAATCTTAACGATCTGGATGACTAAGTGGACAAGAAAATTTTTACGAACCGAACAAGTACTTGGCGCGACGAGTTACAACGCCATTTTTTTCTTTTCTTTTCTTGAATTTATTTTCGGAATTTTTTCGAACAGAAGTAGGAACCGTTTTTTTCCAAGCAGAAGTAGGAACCGAAAAACGCGAGCGTAGCAAGGGACAGGTGTCGGACGCAACGAAACAGAGCGGGAAAGTTTTTTCGAACTTCGAAGGACTGTTTCCACGAGAATTTTTTGGATATTATTTACGGACAGCAACCACGTAGCGCGGGAAAGTTTTTTCAAATTTGAACTCCGAAGAGGACCTAGGAGCAAGGATCAGTGTAGTATTTATACTGTAGAA